CTTCACCCTCTCCAGGACAGATCTTTCTATTCTCTTGGCAGTCCATGGTGTGTTCAATACTCTTCTCCAGCACCACAACTCAAAGGCATTGAATGATGTTAAATAGGTGGCTTTATAATATGAACTCTCACAGCGTTAAATAGTGGAGCCCTCAGAACAGGGAAGCACTTGTTGGTCTGAGTGTCTTGAGGCTGAGTCTGAACTCACTCAGGAGACTAGTGGCTCCTAGAGACCAGCAGGCTGTGGGCTGTTATTCCCTGTGGGGTGTCATTCCTTCTGATCACACGTGAAGTCGAACCCCAGCCCTCTGAGTAGGTGATGGTTGTAGCACCACCTCCAGGGCGGGGCTGGAAGACATACTGCTGGCTCAGCGTGAACAACAGTCACCGAGCGCTGTTTTTCATGTTAGGTTTTTTTTTTTAAATTTAGGTTGTTTATTTTTCATTTCAATGAACATCTACAGAGATTTTGGGATTCCATTCATTCATTGTTGCACCCTTCTCCCCGCACAACCCCCCCCACACAACCCCCCCCATTTGCTCCTCTCCTTGAAAAGCAAAAGAAAAACTCCCTCATTGGTACACATGTTAGTTTTTTAAGAACTTGTTTTGGTCAGTTGGGTCAAAGAAATGACATCAGGGTCTTAGAAAGCAGTTATGGGTTTACAGTAAATGGCCTCACTGTTCAGGCTTATCCTATTGGTGACAACAGCATGTAATCAGTTTTGTGGCTCTCTACGTTCAAATGCTATGAATTTTGTCTTCTGCATGACATTGATGGTTTCAGGAAAAATACAGACACATTAAAGCCAGGTCCCTTCTGGCTCCTCCGAGTATAAAAGCTACTCTTATTCCCACTGCAAAAACATTATGTCAGTTAGTGGGTCCAATGTATTTGTTCTTCGTTATTCCTGTCATGTTAGCTGTGTTGTTGTTATGCTGTTGAGTTGGAACTGACTCGCAGCTGACTATCCAGTCAAGTGGGTTTTGGAGACTATAACTTGCATAGGAGGAGATTGATGGTCTTTCCCTCACACAGCAACTGAAATCAAACCACTTGCCTTTGGGTTGGCAGCACAGTGCCTTACCACTAAAGTGACCAGCGCTCCCCAGTCATGTTAGAGAGAGGGCCAAAGACTAACATTAACATAAAACAGCACAAGTATTCACGAAGTTATAAACCCCATAGCATATACCACACAGCAATATACACATGTGCATTGACTGGGAGGCAAACTTGAGGCCTTTATTCTTTGTCTGGCTGTCAAATGCCAGTTGTTCCTACTCCATCTTTCCACCTTGGTCCTCTTTCTATGTCATCTCATAAGCCCCTTAGATAAGTGGAAGAGGCTCGTTGTGGATCCTTGTGGGCTCCGCAGAGGAATGTGAAGGAGGGAATCTGGCAGCCATGGCCATGGCCCATTTATGGCAGGCAGTGTTTTGTTCTTAAATAGGATTGTTGTTGCTGGATCTGTGTTATCTGTGGATTAGCTTGAGAGAAACACTAGACAGAGGGACTGGAGAGGTTTTGGGAAAGACTTTTTTTTTTTTACAAGGAAAAAAGTTTAATTCTTAATTCTTTTTTTCTGCAGCATAATGCCTCACTTGACCTCTACAGCAGGTCACTGTGAGAATCTTGTGTTATAAAGCCAAGGCGGTCTATAACACATTAAAAATTCCCATTCTGACCCATGTGAACTCTTGTGTATTCTTTTTCAACTATATATAAAAAAAGACTTCTTTTTCATTATTGTCCAGTTGCTTGTGGTCATTTTTCTAACTGAGGCTTTTCGGCCAGGCAGGACTCAGAAGTGCAGGTTCATGGCTCACTTCTGAGGAGGTCCCTGCCCCACTTGATTATATCACATCTACCTGTGTATCCAAACTGTTCCTTTCAGATCTGAGTATCTCAGACTCAAAGTCTTAAGATTTCTTGCTCTTCTATCTTGAAGTGCCAATAAACAAAATAATATCCAGGGTCAAGGAATGGAGAAGAATTTCAAGTTTTATCTGGCTTTTAAGATATTGAGATATGCCCTAATGGACCGGCTGGTTATCATTGCTGCAACAGCAACATAATCTGAAAATGCTTTATAGCTCATCTTTTCAGAGTTATAAGATTAAAAAGAGGACAGATATTATGTCACTGCAAAGAGAATGGCTATTTAAACATCCATAAATACTTTGTAGGCAACTTTGAGTGAGGGTTTTTGCTTCAGGAGGACTTAGATATGAAGCTAATAATTTATTTCTGCTGCTAAAGTCTTGCAAGCAAAGTAACCAATAGAATAGGTTGCTGACAAGCATCAAAAAGTCTGGAAATCACATCAGTAAATCTCTATACACAGATACATACACATATGTGTATATACAGAAATTAATTTGGTTCTATATATCATATATTATTACATATATATGTGTGTATATACTTATAAAGCGGGAGAAGGATGGGGAATCTCCTTTCATGTTATTACCTGCCTCTGAAAACCCGCTGGAGGGTCAGCTATGGGTCAGTTCTGACTTGACAGGACACAACAAGAACATAAAGATATGAAAAAAAATTACATTGTATATTATGCTAATTATAGAACAGAGTTCAGGTCTTTTGCGCTAGGGTCACTATGAGTTGTATTTGACTTGGTAACACTTAACCACTGCTAAGTGAGACTATTTTTGCTGTATTTGGAGGAACATTCTTCTACTTTGTACATCACTCTTTGTCAATGTGCTGTATGAAGTAATCTAGGTTTGCTGTGATGCTGAACCTTGTGCCATGGGGATATCAAATACCAGAATAGTTTCCCATTGTGGACAGTGTTTGGTGGAGCTCCCAGTTGTAAAACAGATTTGGAAGCAGGAGTAGCATCCACTTCCTAAACCACATGCCTCTGGAAACTATGAACTTGGAGAAATGACCATAGTTATGGAAAAGCATTAAGTCTTTTTTTTTCAGCCTCTAATTTTTTTTAAAATTTCCATTCATTAATTGTTGCATACTTTCCTCCCTGCCTACCCCTCCCCCAAGTTCACTTTTCTCTTTGACAAGTTAAAAAAAAATTCTTGGTTATACAATTCCCACCCTCTGCCCCACCCCCCTTCACTCCACTATGCAGGTTTCATTCTGGACTCTTGTCATGACAATAATACCTAATCATATATTCCTCCTAAACAGTTCTCTCCCTCAGCTGTTTCAATGCAGTATATATTATTTATGACCTCTTAGTTTCCCTCCAACTCCAATGTCAGTCCCGCTTTATAACAGTGCACTATGCAGTATTTGTCGTTTTGTGACTGAGATATTTTACTCAGCATTATGTCCTCCAGGGTCATCCATTTTGAATAATATTGCATGAGTTTCTTGTTTTTCAATGCAGCATAGTTTGTTCACAGAGTTGTGATGAGTCGTGCTTGACTCGACAACAGTCAACAACAACAACATATTATTATTGTTATTGTACAGTAAAGTCAGAATCAACTTATAGCTGACCCTCCAGTGGGTTTTCAGAGGCAGGAAATTACATGGGAGGAGACTGTCCAAATTTTCCTCCTTTGGAACAGCTGATAGATTCAAATCACATGCCTTTGGGTTGGCAGCCCAGCTCTTTACTCCTGAACCATAAGAGCTCCCTTTAGTCTTTCTCTAAATGTGTCTTTCTCTATACTGTAGACATGTATATGGTATAAGATTGACCATTAACTCCATTATTCTGCAACTTGGAACAAGAGTCAGTTCCATTTCTGAGTTTGGTGAAAAGATTTTAAACACCATTTTACTCCATGTGAGTGTATAGGGCTAAGGAGGGAAGGGAAGGGAAGTCTATTTAGACCTTTATTTGCTTTGGCAACATTTAGCACAAGCAAAAGGAAATGTCCTCAGACAACCTGACAACAAAGATGCCATCCCTGAAAGATTTCTTCTACTCAGTGTTGCATTGCCACACTTAATCCTCCATGTGCAACAACAGATCAGCCTGATTGCCGACTCTTGGATGGCACAGAGGAGGAACGGAATAATTATCTAATGAATAAATTAAGAAACAAGTCACCTTCCCGGACTAAGCAGGGAACCAGTAAGTACTATTGTAGAAAATGTTCTTGAACTGGGGTTTTTGGAGGCATGCATGTCACTACACGGTCTCTCCAAGACTTCCCAAGGGTACATGCCCCATGAGACCTTGCACACGGCCAGCACTGTCCTCATGCCTGCCCAGACAGACTCAGCCCTTCAGAAACTCATGGGACAGCTGCTGACCTCCGCCTAGAACAACCTAAAGCCCTTTCACGGCCCACATTAGTTATTACAGAAATTCTAGGGCTGGTGACTCTGGCATGTCTGTAACAAAGCGCACTTTCCTGCTCCGTGTGGTGTCTGAGTGCTCTCTGCAGACGATGCCGACAGGCATGGTGGGAAAGCTATTCGACTTCACAGGTACTTTGCCTTATTACAGAGCACATTATCCTTGTCAAGGCTTAAAAGCAAGAACAACTCACTCAACTAATACTGGGCCCTCTGTTAAACTTGGCCTGGCCCATGGCTGTTGTTATGTGCCATCGAGTTGCCTATGACTCATAGTGACCCTATGTACAATAGCTCTGAACTCTGCTCTATCCTGAGCCGACCTCATTGTCTCAGACACGCCTATCGCATTACTACAACAGTCAATCCATCTCATCCAGGATCTTCCTCTCCTGCGCTGTCCCCTCCAAGCATGATGTCCCTCTCCAAGGATTGGTCCCTCATTGCAACTTGCTCAAAGTATGTCATGTTTAGTGCTTAATAAATGATTCATGATACTGATGTAGCTATCATCTTTCAGTTAAAGAAGAACTTAAACAGGTGTAGATTTATGTATACATACAAAGCTATTCCTATTGTCCTTGTGAAGCCTATCAGGAATCTTTCCGATTTCGTACAAAGTCCTTGTCATGTTACAATGACTCTTACTTTGAAAATTTCAGGTCTCAGCTGAGTTTAAAAATCACTCAGCTTGAGCTACGTACCTGAAGTGGGAATGGAGTCAGAGGGATCCTTGTCAGGGCACCTGATTTCCGCTCCTTCTCTCACCTGTAATGTGATACACACAGAAATCGCATGAACATCTAAGTAGCAATAAGCTATGATGCTTCCAATCTAGGAAATTAGATGAGAAGTAAAGCCTCTATTTTGGAAAATATCCCCTAAAGTAAGGCAAAACCCCAGGTAGCCTTTTCAATTTCTCCCTTTCCTTTAGCATTTGGATCCAATTGTCCACAGTGTTTTTCAAATGCTCCTCAAACGAATCACCTTCCCTCAGGTCTTCGTGGGCCCTCACCCTCAGTCACCAGTTAGGCTTTTGTTTTTTTTCTGGCCTGGAATATTGCAGAATATTCTTCAATAATCCTGTGTACTTCTCCCCTGGCCTTCTGAGTCCACCCAAAGCAGGTTTTATCAGCATAAATAATATTTCTCTGTCCACATTTTGAGTAGGCGCAGGGTGCATTGTCTTTTTCATTTACTGTTACATGGCCAGAGCTTAGAATAGTGCCTGGCATATAGAAGGTGCTTAATAATTATCTGCTAGTTAAACAAATGAATTACTGCTCCATATGAACATCAGTCTAGTCTCCCTCACTGCCTTAAGAGGCCTCCAGACATGGAAGACATCAGTCCCTGACTAAAACTCATTTTGTGCTCTCACATGTCCATGTCGTCACCAGTTACCATCACTTTCCATTTTCCAACACTTTTGTCTACTTGGCTCAAACATACTTATCTTTCCAGACTGAAGTCATGGGTACTCTTTGGGAAGGCTCTATCAACTTCCTCTTGTCTGAGTTAATTGTTCTTCCTCTGTGTTCCCAGGATGCCCTGACAACTTTAACTATAGTACTTATTACATTATGTCATAATTACTGACTAACTATTTCTCTGCCGGACTGAGTTCTTAGGACAAGGGCAGTGCTTGATTCATGCTTATATTTTCCATGGTTGGAAACCACTCATCCATCCATTAATCCATCCAAGGGGCATTACGCACCTCCCCTGAGTCCTTATTTTCACTGAGCTTACATTTTAATGGCATGAGGTAGGTATTCAATAATTATCTCTCAAAGGAGTGTATTGCTTCCTCTTAACAGATCATAAAAAAAAACACATTTATATACAATTCATACTATGCCAGTTCCCATTCTCAGTGCTTAGTACTTACTAATTTATTTTACTTTTATAACAGTTCTGTGTAGGAACTCTATTTCCCATAGGGACAGGTGTTTGGGGGGAGGGGAAACCAAGGCACAGAGGGGCTATGTACCTGGCCAATTCTCTTAACTCACTGTGCCATGCTGCCTTCACTGCTTTAATTTTGGTTGGAAAGGGTGGGACACCTTTATGAATCAAGATACTTTCCCACTTGCTCTCTTAGGCTTCACAGAGGAGGCTCAGGCCATCAACTTTGCATCCATGCCTTGAAGTAACTCTCATTTCTCACACAACAGGGAGGCAGAGATGTCATAGGACACTAGAACTGAATTTATCTTGACCCACAAAGATGTCCACTTCTTTGTGAACAAAGATATCTGTCTTCAAGCATTCCTCAGTTCTTCAGAGGAGCACAGAGTTCCCATATTGACAAGAAGTATCAGAAAGAGGCTCATGAGACAAGTGGCAAGCACATTGTGAGTGCGTGTGAGGGGTACTTCTGCACCTCACATATGGAGTGAACCAATTACAGAGGCCTGTTGGTCTCCATACAATTTGGTTTCAAGCTTTACCACATTGCTCTAGTTTGTTTTTTGGGTTTTTTTAACTTTCTCTTTGGATTAAAGCCTCCATTGAGCCTAAGAGGACTCAACAGAGCTTTGGGAAGAGCCTGATGTTTGACATCACAACAAACTGGGAGCAGTCAGTACTGAGCAATCCCAACGTGCCCTGTGGAGCCACAGAATATTGTCAGGCCCCTCAGAAGATAGTACCGTTAGTGTAGACCTGCTCCAAGGTACCAAGTGACAGCACACAGGTCATTCATTCTCCACCCCTCACCAGCCTAGATGTCACATGTTTGTTACAGCTCCTATCATCTCCACAGCCCGCAATAACCCCAGAGATAACAGCCTTCCAGAACAGAAGTGCCCACGTGGGAAGTTTCCCAAAGTCTCAACAAAGCACGCAGCTCATGGTTCACGTCCATATTTGTCAGTACAGAAAGGCTTTTCATACCTCAAGCTTCTTAGGGAATTTTGATGAGCCGGGCAGGTAGAGGCTGTTCTTGTATGTAAACAGATAGGGCTTCTCCTGCAGAAGAGAGCAATGTGTCTCTTAAGCATCAGGCTTTACTGTTTGTCCAGTAACACCACTGCAACAGGCATATCACACTTTAAATGATGGTCAACTATTCTCTGGCTTTTCTCTGTACTACCCATTTGTTTCCCGAAGGAGCTCATGAAGGCTTTGAAATTTCCCATTTGCGAGAGTTATCACCTGCTTCCCTACCTTGGAGTTTCGTGCTCTTGGATAAGCATGCATACTTCTATTAGCAGAACATTTAATTTTAAGCTGCTTAACAGTCAAAGCAAATCGAGAAACAGGATGAGCCCCATATATAGTTTTTGTTGTCTACTAGCAAAACCCAAATTCATCAGGAAAGCTGAAATTTTTAACTACCACTAAATGACAGTGTTCGGTGAAGCTCCCAGTTTAAGACAGGTTTGGAAGCAGGAGTAGCATCCACTTCCTAAACAACATGCCTCTGGAAACTCTATGAACTTTGAGACATGTCAATAGTTACAGAAAGGCTTCAGGTCTTTTGTTCGTAGGGTCGCTATGAGTTGTGCTTGACTCAATGGCAATCAACAACAATAAATGATGAGAGGAGTTATACTATTCATTTATGTCCAATTATTCTCTCATCTGTTAATTAGTAAATGTTAATTATATACTTCCACAGTAGGCAATTAATTATATATCTACATTTTAGGCAATTCTTTAACACTTAGCAAAATAATCCATCTTCAGAACTACCTAACTACTCAGACACCTTGCCTCCTTATCTACACCAGAGATCAGAAAGAAGCATGGGGCACAGAGCTCAGAACATAGAGAAGATGAGTGGGAACAGCACTTGCAGCCCTGGTGGCCTGTGGCTTTGACTTTGTTTATATACTGCCCCCTAGAGATGTGGAGGAGTCTCAGTTCTACTAAAACAGCTCACCCATCCCAAAGGTATTGGCAAAGAGAGCAAAGCTATGTCCGGGCTTAGAACAGAGCTAAGACTCCAATGGACCTGACATCTCAGTCAGGAAAGACCCCTTCCCTCACCACAAAGCCTCACTTGGTGATCCCATGTATCTCCACCCATTCAGTGTGCCACACTCTCCTTGCCCAGGCTTAGCTCACCTGAGTGGGGCATTTTATATGTACGCTCTCTTTTGCACTGAGTGGCTCATCCTTCTGTCCTGCTGGCTCCATCTAGGAAAGAAGATGACATCTTTAGAATAGAAAAGCTTTGTGCCGGTAGCAGCATTCCAAGGTACCATTGACCAAGATTCAGTAGGCCCCTGATTGTTGGTTTGATTCCTAGATGCTAGGATCAGCATAATCCGGGAACCAATTAGAAATGCAAATGTCCAGACCTCACCCCAGACTTATGGAATCTCTAGAAACGCGGAGGGTGGAGGCCCAGCCATCTGTACTTAACAAACTTTCTAGGTGCTTCTGATATAGGCGCAAAGTGGATGACCACTGTGTGAGAGGCATCACTGATATTTAGATTGAAAAGACTTCCAAGTTTATCCCTCATGATATTAAAGGAGAGGAAACTGAGCATTATTGAGGTCAGCATCGTGTCCGGTTAGCCAGGGCCGAGCTAGACAAAGACGCTGGTGTCCTGGATTGAATACCATGTTCCTGGGTGAGTGGAGTTGCTGAGTAACTTGGCCCCCCTTCCCACTTCCTGCTGCCCATGCTCTGGCCAGTTCACTATTTGTACTTGTCCTGAGAGGAGGGTGGATAGGGGAAGGAAGGCTGTGTAAAGCATATGTTTCTTTCTCCCCGGGTTCCCTTCTTCTCCTGTAAACACAACTATGGACACAGGAGACCCTGCTGAACAAGCATGGCTTACAGAAGCTCCTGGTGAAGGAAACTGAATCCTGGGTCAAGTTCTCATGTTTTTACTTGAAACACAGAGATAGAGTGGCACGGAGCTCCACACAGCCCACACGCTCTTCAGCAATTAGAAAGGCTAGAGATACAGGAATGAGCATGGTGGTGTCAGCTCTGATATAGGCAGCTACTTACATGATAACCATGAAAGTGATTAACAAAGAAAACAAGTTTATGGCAAGTTAGCAAAGGTAACTAGTAGGTTATCAGTTTACCTAAAAGTACTTATGGGAAGATAAGGAAATAAAGGAGTTGAAGAGTCTCATGTTGAAGGGATGCTTTTTAAAAGTTAATTTTATTCTTTTTAAATGTTTGCTTTGAATGAGGGAAAAGGTGGAAATGAAACTGAAAATGTACAAAAGACCAGGCTTTCTGGTCTGATAGACTAATGGAGGCCCCAGACCTTAGACTCACTCCTGGGGTTTAACTTTCAGTCAAACAATAGACAGGCCTCTATGGAGAACAATGACAGGCACTCCTTAAAATAACCAACCTTGCAAGATCAAAAGAGCAGCCCTTGTCCAAGAATAAAGCCCTGAAGTCAGGAAGGTATAAAACAGAGAAGGGTTAGTGGAGGTGACAAATACAAGCAGTGGTGAGAAAAGTGCAATTACATTGCTGGTGGTGTTAATGTTATGAAACAAAATAATATATGAATGATTGAACAAAAACCCAATATACTTTGTAAAACTTCCCTCAAATTAAAAAAAAATGGTTTTTAAAAAGAGAATATTAATTATGAATATATAAACATTTTTAAAAAGAAAGTGGCTATGGGAGATTCTTTTTCATGTACTATATAATCTGCTGTCAGTCCTACTGCCCTCCGGTGGTGGGCTCATGTGGCACCTCTGTCCCTTTCCTGCCAAGGACACTGACAGGAAACAAGGAGGCAGAAGGCTACAGCACGGGCATCCTGTGAGATGGACTCAGTTAGAAGTTCTGCTACCCTCTGTGAGGATTTCAGATTCTTCAGCAATATCTTATCCCAATATCTATGTCAGGTGATGAAAAGCCAAGGAAAGAACTTTAACCTTCTTGAGATTAGCTGTTAACCCAGACTCTAGGACAGCTAGATAAGGGGATGTAATTAGCTTAATCTTTTGGAAAAGGAGTGGCAACCCTTTCACCTTTTCTTTGGAGGTGAGTTGGGCCTCCAGCTTTCTTCTGTTTTCTTCTGATAGGGCACCCTGCTGGGCCATGGGCCCACAGGAGGTTTCATGAGGATAACTGGGGTTCTAACAGTGTCTAATGCAGCCAGTGGGGAAGTCAGGTGTTGATCTAGGTCATGAAGTTTCCTTCCTCAACCTCTCAAGATTCAATCAATAAGAGAACCTGGAACTAGACATTGAGAAATGCTCATCTAGATCATTTGGGTAGGAAGGATACAGACGAGCCCATTTATAAAGAATCTTAAAGAAAGACATTTCATAGGTGCTCTCAATCAGTCCAGTTTCATCAGGGGCCCTATGCATCCTTGGTAGTAGAAATCTTATCTTCTGTGTAGGAAACCCAAGTTTGACTCTCAGCTAACACCTGTCTATCAGGGGATGCTTGCAAGTGGCTATGATGCTAAACAGGTTCCAGCAGAGCTTTCAGACATTGAAAGACTAGGAAGAAAGGCTTGGCCATCTGGTTCCTAAAATTAGCTAGTGAAAACCCTATAGATCACAACTTTAGTACCACTGGAGGCACCTGACCCACAAGTCATCACAGAGACAGACGGCCCAGGACCACACGGTGATTCACTTCCTGGTACGTGGGTCACCATTACACAGGACTGACAGGACCACAGCTGACACAACATCTTTCCTGCTTCCTCTTAATCCCCTTGACACTTGCTCTGACCCAGTCCTCCTCCAACTTCAGGGAGAATGGAGACCCACATGGCCCTTCAAGGATCTCTTCTGAGATCCTCCTTCTCCAATCACCCTTTTTCTTTTCACTCTAAAGACAACTGGGTTTGGTTTTTGTGCTTTCTTTCATGTTTTTTCGTTCTTTCCCTGCTTGCCTCTCCTCCACATGGGGAGCTTTGACTGCCTACTGCTAAGGAGCTGCGCTGTGAACTCAAAAGCGCATGCTTCAGATCCACCAGCTTCTCCGAGGGAGAGAGATGGCCAGTCTTCTCCCCTGTGATGTACAGCCTCTGAAAACCCACTGGAGGGGGCGGGGAGAAAAAAAAAAAAAAGAAAACCCACTGGAGGACAGGTTTTTAACTTGACAGCACATAACAAAAATAACTCTGCATTCCACCAATGAAACTAGAGTGTGGGAGAAGTGGAAGATGACCTTAACAAGTCTCTCCAGAGGACACTTCCCACACAGCTGTAAGCTATGTCTGAGCAGACTACAGCTTCACCTGCCCTTAGCTCCAGCACCCTGCACAGGGGTGGGCAGGAAGGGGGAATTTGTGATTGCTGAAAGGATATGGGAACCAAGTTCTCCAGCAGTGGGTCTTTTTCAAGCTACTACTGTTGACCAAGAGTTACTGAAATTATTGAGAGGGTGGCTAAAAAGTACTCCATACAAAGAACTCTCAGTCTTGTGCCATGAACTCGGGCTCCAGCAGAGAGGGATCATTCCATTGGATGGCTCCAGGAGCAAGCAGAGTTGATGCTGCACACACACTCCAGAAGCCACACACTCAGGGCCAGGGAGAGCAGACCCTGAAGCAGCTTGTGCTCGGTAACGCCTGCCTCCATGGGCGGCACAGCAGAGAGCCCTCCTGTGTCCTGGGCTCTGCCTCAGGGAGGGACGTGGGTGGTGGCTGGACTCCTGTGATCACAGTGATTCTGCTGGCCTCTCTCTGATTACCAGCAAAGGATTGTACTGAGTTGAAGCTTTATGGACCTTTGAATGTGGACATAAGCATTTTTCCACCGGCCATCAAGTTAATGCTAACCCACATGGATTCCAGGTGTATCAGAGCACACCATGTTTATATGGTTTTCAAGGACTGATTATTTTTTGGAAACCGATCACCAAGCCTTTCTTCTGAGGTACCTCTGAGTGGGCTTGAACCTACAACCTTTTCGTTAGCAGCATACCTGTTTTTAACCATCAACACACCAGAGAATCAAGGCAATGGAGGCAGAGATTCTCCTGTCTTTCCTGTACCTCCGTGAGGACTCAAGGGTGTATAGAAGCCCACCTTCTCTCTAGTTCCCCATCAAAGGAAAGTCCTCCACGGGCCCTCTGAGGCTAGCTGAGGGACTCTAGCTGCTTGTAGGAGGTAAAGAAAAAGAGGCCCACAAAGATCAAGTGACATGTCTCACAAGTTAACCTAAGGCAGGACTGGAATCAGAACCCAGGGCTTCTGACTTCTTGTCCACCGCCCTTTGCACTAACCTGTCAGAGCCTTAAATTCTTACGGATTTATTCACACCTGGAGGAACTGCAGGTGCGCAGTAGAAGCTGTGCTGTGCAGGCTGTGGGAAGGCTTGGTATTTCACCAGTGCGGATGCTAGGGGAGCAAGTGTGCTTGGGGCAACGCTCTTCCTCCTCACTGACCGAGGCTGCAGGAGCCTAGAACACGTGAACTATGTGGTTGGTTGAAAGGACAGGAAAGAGTAAAATCCCACCGCGGAAAGGCTTCTCCTCTGAAGCATATGGCATATCCTGGGGCTCCAGCCATGTTGAGGTCTGTGTAAAACCTGTTTTTCCCTCTGCAAGCCTGCTCATCAGTCCCTGCATAGGCTGCAAGACAGTGTGCATGCTGGGGGCCTATCTGCCCACCCGAGCACCCAGGAGTCTCAATGAATAATGGTCACCATCACCACTGCTACTGTCACTGATGCTGATAAATAACATGACAAAAGTAGAGACCGGGTACATGTAGGCAGAGATCAATAGTGACTAATTTTACAAAACACAATATATACGAGTGATCGTTTGAAACATGATGTGAAAGTAGGAATGTGAAACACAATGTACATGATTGCTACACAAGGTATGGAAACTAATGTTGTTGTTGTAAAATGCCGTGGAGTCATAGATGACTCCTAGCAACCCTATGAACAAAAGTCTTCAACACAAATAACTTTCCTCTTTTCTCTAAGTTCATGGAGTTTCTGGAAGCAAACTGTTTCGGAAGTGGATGCCACTCCTGATTCTGAGCCTGCTTTAATTTGGGAGCTCCACCAAACACATGAAACCAGTATAAAATAATATATAATGAAAAAAGCAGAGAGAGGGGGGTCCAGCCCTCTTGCCCTGTTAGGTCTTCTCTGTCTGGAGTGCTAGGAGCACCTTCTGTTCTCTAGGCCTCCTTATCTTCGCATTTCCTCCCTTATCAGGCTAACTCTCACAGGCCTTTGCTAATGCATCTGGCACATTCTTTCCTCCATGCCCTGTACTCGCAAAGGCTCTTTTGCCTAGGGATGCTTTCCCTTACCCACTCTGACACATTCTAACCCTGTGAAGACAGGGCTTTCCTGATTCCATCGTCCAGACGACCTGGCACAGGTGGCACAGCCCAGCACATAGCTGCTGGGACTCGTTCCTCTGCATTTCCAGTTACTCCATAAGCTTACTGAGGGCATAGACCTTGGATAACTGTCTCATGTAAGCTCCTTGGCACCCAGCATAGGACAGAATGTATGGTACGTGCTCTTTACTTGATTGGCAGAAACGCAGAGAGAGGATTGGCTGAAACAAAATAATGGACTTCTCTTCCCAAGGGAAGGAGTGGCAGGAAGGCACTCCACCCCCCAAGGTCCTGGATCCCTTCCTTTGCCTCTCATAAGAGATCAGCAGAAGGGAGCTTTGGTGGCCTAGTGGCGAGAAGCTGCATTGCAATTCCAGAGGCACATGGTTCGAATCCACTAGATGCTCTGCTGGAGGAGGGGCAATCTCCTGTACCAGTCAGATCCGATTTGATGGTACATACACAATAAATAATAAAAATGGGAAAGGAGAGAGGAGAGAGAGAGAGAGAGAGAGAGAGAGAGAGAGATCAGTAGAAAAACATTCCCAGGAGAGTTCCACCTGGGGATTAGATCCCCTAGTGGGAATCCCTGTTCAGAGCAATCAGAGGCCTGCTCCCAAGGACACCTTGTTCTCATTGGTGAGCCTGCTCCCTGCCTCTCCCTTCCCCATACTCCATCTCGAGTGGGCTAATGCAGCTGAAATGCAGCAGCTCGTGGCACCTCACAGAACACATCACTGGGGGAGATCGAGAGAAAGATCACTAATCCAAAGAAGCAAAACAAGATTTTGTAGTTGACATTTTAATAATAACCACAGCGTGGATGGAGAAAAAAAATAAATGAGAAAAACAGGTCTCTGGCACCCTAGAAAAGCTAGAGCCATAACGGAGAGCCTGTGACACTACATTCTGGGGGTTCCATCGTCCCTTGGGGAACTCTTGGTCTGTTGTGGCTCTGGTGACAGCGGGCCAATCCACAAGTGGGCCTGGAGCTTGCTAGGCTCTTGGTACATGTTATTCCAGGGATTGGGATTTGGTTTTTGCAGAAAGGGAGTGGAGCGCCTGAATTTATACAGGTTATAAAGCAAGGACTTGAACTCAGGTCTTCATTACTCCAATATCTGTGGTTGTCTCAAGAAATAGCCTTTGAAACTGTCAATACCGTATTTGTGTAAAATGAGGGAAAGGTGGACAAGGATGGAATGTGGGTCCCCTCCTGAGTTCCCCCGCTAATTGATTTCTTACACATGGAAGACCAGACATGAGACCCCAAGACCCAAGTGGTGCCTCCTTAGTGGGCTATGGTCTAGCCTCTGAGACAAGAAGGTCAAATTCTTGGTGGACAGAACTGGTGTCCCTGGTGTGTGAGAAGGTTTCCTGCAGCCCTGACACATCGTCCTGGAAGCCTGTTGGCACCCTGTGGGCCCTCCGTCAGAGCAGTGGGCACAATGAGAGCACCGCGGGAGACGATGGCCTTTCCTACCAGAGGCCCCTGCCCCGGCTCACAGCCCCAGGCCCACTCACCATGCTGTTCCAGAGACTCAAGGCAAGTGTGGTGGGATCCTGGACAAGTGGCTTCTCCTGAAAGAGAATCAAGGAAGAAAGGAAACCCTGTGTACTCCTAAAGGGGTTTCTCTAGACCGGCTTCCTACAAGTGATTCTCCTTAATGCAGAGATGGGTGTCCTGGACCTTCCATATTCCTCCTCAGTGCCCACATCGACAGCTGTAAGCATTTATGTGGGTAACAAATGTAACCCACCTTGTGGGCTTAGGGCCTAGTGATAAGAGCTCTGGAGCAGGTCAAGCCTCTGATTGTACCGGGCTTATGGGCTTTGTAATGAGCAGAAAGTGTAAGAAAGAATATTGCCCCATTGCCCTGACATGACAGATCCTAGGGTCACTGAAGTGGAACTGTGATGCAGAGGTGACAGAGGGACAGGAGCGGGGAGCAGACCTGTGGCCCAGGACCCCTGATCTACACGCTCTTATCTCCCCAACAGTCCTCACTCACCACAATGGATGACAAGGCTGTATCAGAGAAGAGAGGCTGGAAAACAGCTGTGAAGGACCTGTACTCATTGTACTTGCTGGAGGCCAGGAACTTCTCCCAGGTTTCCTGAGGAGGGAGGAAGAGACGCGGAAGTGAGGCAGAGCCTGCCCACCCCCTGACAGCCAGGTCAGCCTCACTTGTTCAGAACTCAATACAAATTCAAACTCCTCTCATCTCACACATGCAGGCTTCTGAGAAACTAAGTTGAGGTTTGCTCTCCTCTGAAGCTCCACCAGGCAGGCAATACCAGAGGTAAAGCTGACGTTATGTTCTCTGGGAAGTCAAGAAATTTAAGCCTAACCAGCAGCCAGCCATATTCTGTAGATGGGAGGGTCTTTGTAGTTGTTGTTATGTGCCAGTCGCTTGCGACTCATAGCGACCCTATGTACAACAGCCCTAAACCCTGCTCTATCCTGTGCCAATCGCACTGCCTCCGACACACCCATCCCAATTACCCCAGTCACTGAATCAATCCACCTCATAGAGGGTCTTCCTCTCCTGCGCTGTCCCTCCATCCTCCCAAGCATGATGTCCCTCTCCAAGGACTGGTCTCTCCTTACAACATGTCCAAAGTATGTTAGGTGGAGCCTCAGAATCCTTGCCTCCAAGGAGCCACCTGGTTTGACCCTTTCCAGGATGAATCTGTTTTCTTAGCAGTCCATGGTATATTCAATACTCTTCTCCAGCACCACAGCTCAAAGGCATCAATTCTCCTTCTATCCTCCCTAGTCATTGTCCATCTCTCTGAGGCTTGACAAGTGATTGCAAAGACCATAGCCTGTATCAGATGCACCTTAGTCTCCATGCCAAAACGTGGTCATTTACAGAGTGATAGAAGTGCCTTTCTCATGACTTCAAACACAACTTTGTTATTTAAACAAAACCATCATGCTCAATATAGTGGTAAACCTATGCTTTGAGTTGTTTGTGATGGTTTTCTTGAGCCATCAGGCTCTGCTGGGGCCTCTTCTGTGAACAAGTAGGGGCACATTCAGGAGCCTGGGTCTCTCTTGGCACCGGTATCACCGATGCAGGCATAGCCCAGGCAAACCCAGCTCACTGACCATAGGTGACAGGATAGAAGCAGTAAATGATCACCCAGTGCTTTTCAGAAGTAATTTGCAAAGCTCTTCGCTGACTTTACCCAAAGCCCTGCCCCCTGCCCTGTTCAACAGTGTGGACACTGAATGGTTATTAAGAAGTGATTTGACAGCAGCTCTCTTGGGGTCTTCACTCCAACCCACTGCTGTCAAGTTCCTTCTGACTGACGGTGACGGTGACGCTGCATCAGCTTTACAGGGCTGTGAATCTCTATGGGAGGGGACGACAGTCCATCTCTCTCCTGCAGATCGCCCAGTGGATTCAAACCAATGACCTTTTGGGTGGCAGCCCAACATGTAGAACTGTGCAGCCCAACATGTAGAACTGTGCTCCATGATGTTCTCAGCTGCTGGTTTCTCATGAGCAGATCACCAGGCCTTTCCTCTTAGATACCTCTGAAGGGCTAAATTGTCAAACCTTTTGGTCTACAGCCAAATATGTTAACCATTTGCACGAGAGCTAACCCAGCTGCACTCCTTCTTTCCCCCATTTCTGCCAAGAGGGAGCCAAGTCATAGCCGACTTTCCACAGGTTTTGGAGGCTGCACAGGAGAAGGGGGGGTGCCCACCTTTTTCCCGAGGGACCTCCTGGCAAATTTGAACCACCTGAGGCTCATTCTTTGACCTTGCCAAGTACATCTTCTTGTGGGTCACTAGGGGTGAGAGAAGGTGAACACCCCGAATGCAGGACAGAGGGGCAGTGAGCATGTTTCTAGACAGAATTCTCAAGGCTTTTCAGAAGAGACAGCCCCTCAGTCTCGGATTAGCAAATTTAGCACTGTCTGAGCTGTGCCCTGCTTCTTCCTATCACCCCTGTTCTCCTCCTTGGGTACCCCGCCCATGGTGAGCCCAGCTGCCTAGTCTTCCCAAGTGGGCTCACCTGATAGGACCACTGCATGACAACGCGGGACAGCTTTGACGTCTCTGCCAGGCAGCTGCAGGGCTCGTCTGAGGAGCTGCAGGCAGATCAAGAGGTATTGAGAGATCTGGGTGCAGTGTTGGGCGCCAGCTGTATACCTCTCAGGGGAGGAAGGGATGGTTGGAATAAATTTGGAAGTTTTCAAAGGGGCACAAGAAAGGAAGGAATGTGTGCTGGGGAGAAGGAAGTATAGGCAGAAAGGTATAATGTGGGGTCCTGGTACCCAGCCTACCCCTCCATCAAAGATGTGGTGGAACTTGGAAGTGTGCACCCTCTCCCAGCACGTTCCTCCCTTCTTGGTTCCTCACACCTGAAACCTACGTCCCATCTCATCCTCCCCTGCTCTCTATTCTTCTTACTTTTCTACCTCATCAAAGCCTCCTCTCCCCACTGTACCACCTTTCCTGCCATCTCCCAGTTGCCACCATATCAAATTGCTGCTGTCCTTCTACTTTGTACATGACCTTCTTTTCTGGTGCAAACTCAGAAAATGTAGGTTCAGGTCCAAAGAGTTTAAATATGTGGGAATTGAACTGTTTTGTTGCCAAGAAACAACAATTCTTCATTTGGAGGAGATTTGCCAAACCCACAGTCTGCCTCTCAAGTCGTGCTGGCAGGGGTAGACCATCACGCATTGCGTTAGCCTGACTAAAGATTTCATCCTTTAAACTCTATCTCCCAAACATACATATTCAGCAAGGAAATTTCTGGGTCTTTCGCTAACTGGCTGCATGAGCTTTCGCACGCGACTTTATCTTGGTTTGAATTTCCTTACTTCTGACAGACACTGATTACACCCCAGTCCCTATTTACCTGAGCCTTGTGCCCTGGTGCCACTGAGAGGTCCCTGTGGCTTCAGAGAGGTCCACCAAGTTCACAAACACTTTGGGGATCTAGGAGGGGGACACAAGGGAAAAGAAGGTGAGCATTCTCAAAGCAGCCTCCATTACTGCCCAGATGCCTCTCTGGGACCCCTGGTTTGAGCCCAGTCTTGCCTCTGGTCCCGCAGGCTGGGGCTCTCCTTTGTTAAGCAGGTGAGCCTCTGTGGGAGATGCCCACTCAAAGCTGCCAACAGTGCCATTCCAGAAAGGCATCCCTCATCATCCCTGATGGAGGAGGGGACCTCCTCACTGCAGTGCCACCAGCTCGCCAGCTCGCTCCAGATGGACCTGCAGATTCTCCACCATGAAAGAGATGCCGCCCAGAGGAGCAGATGGAAAGGTGAGAACCATAGAGCTACCCCTTTATACCCAGAACATTCAGTCGTCCTCATCATGGTAGCTCCAAAAGGGAAGACTTTTCAGAAAGGCTCCCAGCTCCCTCCAGGCTACCATTACCCCCAGTTTGGTTGGAGATTGGCCTCAGGAGAGAGTGGGACATGGAGTCCTCCAGGAGAAACTGCACTTTATTGCTTCTTTCTCCCAAGTCTCTCACAGAAATACCTCTAGTGCAACAATGTTCAAAAGGCGGAAAGAGGGGCAAATGGAAACAGGAAGTGCAGGGAGGAAGTGGGAAGAGCATTGCTGCATTGTGGGGATTGCTAGAAGAAACAAAATGTGTGTGGATTGTTGAGTGGAAAACAAATTTGTTCTGTAAAATTTCACCCATAAAACAGGGGATGGTGGGTCAAGGGAAGGAGAAGATCCGTTAGGGATGTGGAAAGACAGGATAGTGGTGGGACATAGTTCAATGTTAATTAATTTTATAAAACATAATGAATGGGAATGATTGTATGAAACACAATGTGAATGAAGGATAGTGTGAAACACAATGTATACAAACTTTGTGAGCAATCCAGTATAAAGTAATTTTTTTAAAAAAAAAACCCAAACAAACAGAAAGCAGTTAAAAAGAAAGAAGAAAACATCAGATACCACCTCACTCTAGTAACAGTGGCAAAGTTTAACAGGACAGCAAGTAATAAATGTTGGGGGGGAGGTGGCAAGATAAGGACTCTTATACATTGTTGGTGGGATTGTAAATGGGTACAACCACTATGGAAGGCAGTTTTGCATTTCCTAAAAAAGCTGAACATAGAAATTGCATATGACCCAGCTATTCCATCGCTTGGAATAGGCCTTGAGAAAATGAAAACTGAGACTTAAATGGAGACTTGTACGCCCATGTTCTTAGCAGCGTTATTCACCATTGCAAGGACATGGAAACAGCCCAGATGTCCAACCACAATCGAATGGACTGAGAAACTATGGTACATTCACATAATGGAATACTATGCAGCACGAAGGAACAATGATTTTTTATATTGCTACCTAACTTGGGAGGGACTGGAGAGCATTATGCTGAGTGAACTAACTCAGTCCCACAAGGGCAAATATTGTATAAAACCATTATTGTAGAATGAGTATGAGGATCCAAGGGGGGCGGAGAGTGGAAGCAGAGGGGTGCGGATGGGAAGGGATGGGGTGTTAATCATAGGATTGCACAATTCGATGAGTGGAGGAGTAAAGGAAAGGGGAAGGATCTTGTGTGAAAAACAATGCATTAGAATTTTGTAAATAAAGCAGTATAATAACAATTAAAAAAAAAAGTATAGGAAGCTCTAAACCCGATCTGTGTTTTCATCTGGAAGGCTGGAAAGACTCTTCGAGAGCTTCCCCTCATCTCCCTCAGAGTTCATGTTCCACCCCACCATAGGCTGGACTCCCTGTCACCCTGGAGTGGGGGGTTTCTCTTGCTGACCAAGGTGTTCCTTGGGAAGCCTGGCTCTCCAGTGTTAGGGAGCTATGGAAGCCACCGCCTCACCTCCTGGTGCAGGTAGTCCAGTGTTTTGGTCAGTTTGTCCATGCTGTCCTTCACAAGGCTTTCCTGTGAGAGAGAAGAGAGAGAGCAGTGAGAGGGCGGGGCAGGATGGCCACACTCAGGCAGGGAGGCCTGCCCCTGCCCCTGGCTGACGTGATGGTGTCAAAAACAAGTCTTGACTCCAGTTTCATAGACTTCCATGAGCTTCTTAGATTTTGCCTAATCTCTGGCTTCTCCAACCCATGATCCAGCTGAGGGAAATCAAACTCTACCAAGTGAGATGTTCCATTGTTAGGAAAAGGGCAAATTCTAGGTCTGTGCAAGAAAGCACTCTAGTACAATTGTGACACTTATTTTGAAGGAAGTTGTTGATAGGTGAGGTCGAGTTGAGAACAATCCATAGTGACCCCACAAACAACAGACCTGAACCCTGTGCCATCCTCATACCTCCTGACACAACACAGCCCATTGTGGCAGTCCGTGTCAGTTCACCTGGTCAAGGGTCTTCCTTTCTTTTGGCAACCCTCTGCCTTTCCAAGCACCATGTCCCTCTCCAAGGAATAGCCCCTCCCAGAAATGTGCCCATATGGATCTATGGCGATCTGTAGAGATCCTATGAACAACGGATCTGAACCCTGTCCTATGCTGTGCTATCCTCATCATCTCTGATATAATTGAGCCCACAGCTATAAATCACTATGTCACAGTCCGTCTTGTCAAGGGTCTTCCTCTCTTTTGCTGACCTTCCACTTTTCCAAGCATTATGTCCCTTTCCAAGGAATAACCTCTCCTAGCAACATGTCCAAAGTATGAGAGATGAAGCTCTGTTATCCTTGCCTCCAAGGTGCACTCTGGGTGCACCTTGTCTAAGACAGACTGTATTTATTCATAAAGGCTGCTGTAATCCTCACTTGAGGAAAGTCAAGTCCAAAGGGAGAATGCATGAATCTGTGATTTAAGGCCTCAGAATTTCCACTTGGTACTTTTTTGTCAGAACTCCTTCCTAGCCACATTTGCTCTGAGTGAGGAAAGTTCCCAGAAAAAACAAACGAAATCGTTTCCTGGTGGCTGGGTCTTCAAACCCATCATTTATTCACTTAACATGCATGTTGTTGTTGTTATGTGATGTCAAGTTGTCTGCGACTCATAGTGACCCTATGTACAACAGCTCTAAACTCTGCTCTATCCCTTGCCAATCTTATTGTCTATGACACACCCACCCCCACTACCCCAGTGACTGAATCAATCGAGGGTTTTCTTCTCCCGCACTGTCCCTCCACCCTCCCAAGCATGACATCTCCCTCCAAGGATGGATCCTGCCTTGTAACATGTCCAAAGTTGTCAAGGCAAAGCTTCAGAATCCTTGTCTCCAAGGAGCAGCCTGGCTTCACCCTCTCCAGGATGAACTTGTTTGTTCACACACATCCACAAATATGTATGCCTGCTGCACATGCACACATGCACAAATGTACATGCATGCACGCGCACAGAAAGACACACAGACACCCAAGCATGCACACACACGTGTAGTCACACACCTCCTCCTTTGCAGGTAGTAAAAATAAATAAACCATGAGAGCACCTAAAAACTCAACCTTGCCTTTCTCTTTCAGTGTAAAAATAACCAAATAAAAATAAAGTTCACTATGAGACTAACTGCTAAGCTGCCAGCACTCTGACTGTTCCCCGAGGCAACTTGGCTCAGATAGATGACAAGGAAGGGTGAGTTCTGTTTCCTGGGGGGGACACACCAGTGACTCTGGAGACAGCTGCCAATTCCCCAGGTGGGCAGCCCACTCACTTGGAGAAAACAGGAGAGTGTCCCTTCTCTCCCCCCACCCCATGCTTGTGTTAGAGGGGGGCTTCCCTCTGGGAAGAAGTTCAGTTGTGGTACAGCGAAGGATGGCATCAAACTCTGAAGAGCCTTGAGACCTCTGTCTAGAAACATCCTCACTGCCCCTCTGTCCTGCATTCACGGTGTTCACTTTCCCTCATCTCTAGTGACTTAGTAGACAAGGAGTTGTACATGCTAAGCCAAAGAACAAGCTCTCACGTGGTTCAAATCCACCAGCAGGTCCGTAGGAGAGAAATGGGCCCCCTTCCCCTGTGCAGCCTCCAAACCCCAGGGAAAGTAGGCTATGACTTGGCTCTCATTTGACAATGGGGGTGGTTTACCTCCATGAAAATAGTTAACATATTTGGCTGTTGTTTGAGGCTTTAGTCCTCTCAGAGGGGTCTAAGAGGAAAGACCTGGTGATCTGCCCACGAGGAACCAATGCCCGAAAGAGCTGCAGAGCACGGTTCTACACGCGCATGCGTGGGGTGGGCAGAGGTTGGAGCTGACTGGAGGGCACCAGAGGTGCAGCCAAGCAAGTCCTTCTGGGCCCGCACCACGCCTAGTGGGAACCCAGCTTTAGTGAAGGTGCTTGTCCCCAGCTCCTGAGGGGGCCTGGGCCACTAAGCACTTGGGCATAAGCTCTGGTGGCCTCGTGTTACAGAGTTGTACTGTCAACGCAGTGCCAGGTGTTTTGACTCCACCAGCTGCTTTGCAGGAGAGAAAGCAGTCTCCTCCCAAGCAAGTAAGGACCTCCAAAAACTCGCTGAAGGGTCAGCTATGAGTTGATTCCAACTCCACAGCATGCAGCAATTGCTTCACCCACTCACTACCAAGTCATGTAGATGGCCCTTAAGATTTCTGGGGCCTGAAATCCTAACAGGAAGTGCCTGCCCGTCTTTCTGCCACGAAGCCACTAATGCGTTCAAACTACTTTATTCCAAAGACGTGCTGCCTCTGGGTTAACAGTGAAACTTGCCAAGGACCAGATCACCAGAGCTCCTTACTTTGTGCTTTGTTGTTGTTGATTGCCTTCGAGTTTAGCACGACTCATAGCGATCCTATGAATAAAAGGCCTGAAGCCCCTCTACAACTATCGACATCTATCAAAGTTCATAGAGTTTCTGGAGGCATGTTGTTTAGGAATTGGATGCCACTCCTGCTTCTTGAGTGGCAGACATTACACTCATCTCTTAAGATCACACATCCTAAACTCCTCACTGAACCCAAAGCTAGGGGGGAAAATTTCTTTCTTCATGTAAATGTGTACTTTTCTGCCTAGATTCCCCATCCCTATCCCTAGGATCTCATAGAATGTTCTAGCATCAAACACAAGCCTGAAAGCAAGTTTAAAGTTTTCTCATAAATTGTTTCCTTGGTATTTATTGCAAGCCATTGGGACTGTTCTGTCAGAAGGTGTTACCACTTTTAGGCCCTTGCATCATCCTGCCAGCGTGTCCTCCCAGACACATCTGTTTCTAATGCATCTGCAGTGGATAAATGTGGATATTTTCTTGTGCTATCAGCAGCTTTGAGGTTTTTTCCCTTATATATATTTTTTATTTTCTGATTTCTGATATTTCTCATTAACACATTATAAGTAGAGCAGCAAACATGAGTTCAGGCCCTTAAAGCATCCCCTATAACAGCTGCTCAAGACTATCATTTATTTGAAAAGCCAGTAACAGGGTCTTCCCTACTTGTTCCCTTGTCCTTGGGATGATTAGACTTCCCAGGAAGTCCTGGAATGGTGCTCTTAGCGCCTAGCAAAGAGTTCCCAATTTATTCTCTTATGGCTTCAGTCTTAAGAAATTAAAAAAGAGCAAATGTGAACACAGGTCTACACGTGTGTCCCTCTAAACAAAATCAAAACCCAAATTCATCAAGTTAATTTTGACTCATAGTGACTAAGGCTGCCTCAGATTTGCAAGGCTGTAAAACTGCCCATCCCTTCCCCCCAACCCCCGCTGGATTTGAACCATTCACCTTTCCATTAGCAGTGCAATACATACTGCAACACACCACCAGAGCCTCTCATCATTGCTGACTCCCAAAAGAACAAACAAGTCTGTCTTGGAGGAAGTACAACCAGAAGAATCCTTAGAGGCAAGGATGGTGCAACTTCATTGCACATACTTTGGGCAAATTGTCAGTATGTGCCAATTCTTGGAGAAAGACATCATGCTGGAAAAGTTAGAGGGGTGACCCTCAAGGAGAGGGATTCCCACAAAGACACTGACAACAGGCTCCAAGCTTGCAGAGGTCATGAGGAGGTCACAAGGCTCAACTCCACTGCTCATAGATGGGCTGTGAGCCATAGCCAACTGGACAGCACCTAAGAATGCTTCCTTAATAGGTCTCCAGCTCTTGAAGATGTTTATTATTTTTCACTTGTTGAATTTCTGGCAATTCTTTTCAAAATTTCCAATTCTCTGATGAGCTCTTCATTTTCCTCTATTTTGTACATTTTTCTCTTCATTTGATTGAGCGATAAAAGTCATCAGATTTTTTTTTAAAGTCAATGTAATTGCCATGGAGTCAGAATTGATTCACAGCTGACCTTCCACTGGGTTTTCAGAGGCTGTCAAATTGCACAGGAGGAGATTGCCCATCTTTCTCCCTCAGAGCGGCTGATAGATTGGCTCACCTTTGGGTCAGCAGTACAACTCACCAGCGCCTATGCTGCCAGAGCTCCCTGTGAAGGGGCCGAAGTTGTTGCTGTTAATAGCCAGTGAATCAATTCCATCACATGGCCACCCTCCAGGAGAAATATTTATAACAACAGATCAGGCCTTTTGTGGAGCTGCTAGCGGTGTTCCACTACCGTCTTTCCAGTTAGCAGCTGTGCACTTAGCCATTGTGCCACCAAAGCTCTAAGGCCCAGCCTCTACAACAAACAAACCAACAACCAAAGCTTATTTTAACTCATTGTGATTCTATGAGACCGAGAACTGCCTGACAGGATTCCCTAGGCTGTAATCCTTCTAGAAGGTGCTCTAGTGGCATAGTGATTGAGCTCTTGGCTGTTAGCCAAAAGGTCGGTGGTTTGAACCTATCAGCCACTCCAGGAACAGAGCTGTGACATCTGCTTGCTTAAGCATCACAGCCAGGAAAGTCAGTCCTATGCGGAGAACTACAGTTCTACTTTGTGCTATAGGATCACCATGGGTCAGAACAGACTTGGCTTAGCCTGTGTTTGTCCTGGAGTCTGCTGCATCTTCTGCCTACAAAG